GACCGAGCCATGTCACCGGCCACCCCATTTATTCTTCACCAGTCTAGCTAAAGGTCTGCCCATTTTGTTAGGCTTCTCAAAAAGACACCTTATGGCTTTGCTGAGTTTTCTCTGGTTTGTTTTTTGTTTTTTGTTTTTTGTCTTCTATTAATTTCTGCTCTGACCTTTATTTTTAGATTAGCTGGGTATGTGGCACACACCTAAATGTAATTCAGCTGGCTCCCGGGGAAGCTAAGGGAGAAGGACCACTTAAGTTTAAACATTCAAGATCAGCTTGGTCAACACAGTGAGACCTCCATCTCAGAAATTAAATTTTTTTACACACTGTGGCATGTGTTTCTACCTGCCTCCCTATATATAATAAGTAAATGTAATTTTTAAGAACTTTTTAACGATAGAGAAGGCACTTGGAATTGAGCTTACTGGCTCCCCGTGAGCTGATGACAACTGTTAAGACCGACAAACAGTTCAAGCTCATACACACAACTTCAGTGCCTTACTGTCCGATCCCCAGACTGCTCAGGGGAACCACCTGGCTACTGGTGGTGGTGCTGCTCTCGACATGCAGAATAACAGATGAATAAATGCTAACTTGTGCTTCTCTCTGAAGAAGAAGCATTATCGCCATTTAATAAACAAACCGTATTCTTTCAGACACAACTACACACATAGATGGTTTTTATTTCACACTACAGGGCTCAATTACTTGGCACTGAAACTGAAAAACAAGGCAAGAACATCAGGTATAGAAAAGCACAGACATTCTGGCATTACGTTACGTACCTGCTCTACCTAAAGATAAAGGAGTGCTAGAGACGGCAACTTCTAGGGACAAACCTAAATACTTCCAAAGAAATCCAAGAAGTAGAATTTGTTCAGCTAAAGACCCACTTTTCAGTCTGTTCTGTTTAATTCTGTGGCTTTTACATTTCAGATCTCAGCCTAGCCTTGGTCACAGACTCCAAATAAAACCAGGGGTGCATTTGAAGAAATTTGAAGATTTTGAAACAGAAGGGAAAAAACCACACAGAAAACCAATGTTTTCCCCAAACACTGAAGCCCACAGGCCTGAGGACAACTTCTTGGATGGCTCACTAAAGTGAGACATCACATTTGTCCAAGCCAACTTTGGGAAGGAAGCCTGAACCTGGATTTTGAAAATTGCAAGCAACATCAGCCCACAGCTAGAAGAAACTCTTGCAAAATCTCATTTACAGACATTTGTAGAAAAAAAATCTACACTCCATCTATAATGTTCCTAGGCTGGATCCTTCTCATGTATTCTGATCAAATTAATGAAGATCAGTCACAAAGAGCAAAGGTGTGTGCATGTGCATGCATGCATGCATGCACCTGTCAGGGGCTGAAAGGTGCAGAGAAGCAGCTTTCGCTGGCCTCTCAGGAAGCCAGGGTAGCTGCAACTCACACCCCTGGGACAAGTGGGTTCAAGGGCTCAACTGTGCCTTGTGCTGGTTTAACTGCGTGTCTTTCACACATGCTCACAGCTGCGCTCTCTGAAGCACCATGCTGCACAGGCCTTTCTATAACCCTCCCCAGCAGCCCAATAAAGTAACTCTCTCATTTAGATGTCTGCAATGACTTCCTGTCACTTCTGGCACCAGAAATAGGATGGTCCTGTAGGCATGACCTCCAGGTATCACCAATGCTCACGCTGCCTTGGGGGGCTATTTTTTTTTATCTTTACTTATTTTGGTAGGAGGATTGCTGAGGACTGGACTCAGGGGTTTTACATGCTAAGTGCATGCTTTATCACTGACCTGGCCCCCTAATGCTGCGTTCCTGATGCTGCGCTTCGCACAGGAGCAGCACTGCTGACACCACTGTGCTCTACAAGAGCAGCCATGCAGCTTGTAGCTGGTACCTAGAAACTCGCTTCCTTGACCGACAGCAAGGTTTGGTTTTGTTGTGGGCTTTGGGGGATGGGGGTTTTGTTTTTTGAGACAGGGTCTCACTCTGTAACCTTGGCTAGCCTGGAACTCACCATGTAGCCCAAGTTGGCCTTGAACTAAAGATCCTTCTGCTTCAGTTTCCCAAGTGCTGGGATAACAGACATGCACCACCACACTCTACTGTAATACCAGGGTTAAAAGAACAGAAATCTAATTCTACAAGGATGGAGAAAGAGAAAATGCCAACATAAAGCCCACTGCCGTTTCTGTTGATTCTGTGAGAGTGAGCAGAGCTGGAGTCCAGGTGCCCCTTGTAGCCAGTGTCCACGCTGCCAGTTACAGGAAGAACAAGTTCTCACAGAGCTGGATAGCTGGTTCATGATGCAGAATCTGTCCAGACAGGAAGGCTAGCTTGTGGGCATACTTGCAAGGAGCTGGAACTCGGATAGTACCAGGCCAATTCCAGTACATGTGGCACAGTTTGAAAGTCAACCTAAAGTTAGAATGAAAATGTGTTAACACTTCCACCTTCACCTAGGGGTGGGCAGGGTTTCCCTCTCTTGGGGATACAACACACAGCACACTCACCAACAGGAGTCCAGGAGTCCTGGAAACCTAATGCCATTTTCAGGAACTATTGGTTTTATATTTGCTTGGTTGGTTTGTTTTGGGGGTACATGCTCTCAACTATCTAGCCTAGGCTGGCTCAGAACTCCACTAGCCCAGGCTGGCTTTGAGCTGCCAGTGATCTTCCTGCCTCAGCCTCTCAAGTACTAGGATTGTAAGTGTGAGCCACTAGGTCTGAGAGAGTAATCATTATTTTTTTTAATCTGGAATTGTTTACATTTCCACTTAAGCCAAAGGACAGGTACCTTCTCATTTTAGTTATTTCCTTTTTTTTTTGTTTTTGTTTTTAATTAAAAGGGGGGGGCGCTGGAGAAATAGCTCAGCAGTTAAGAGCACCTGCTGCTCTTCCAGAGGACTCAGGTTTGGTTCCCAACAACCACATGATAGCTTACAACCATCTCTAACTTCAGTTCTAGGAGATTTGATACCCTTTTCTGGCCTCCACAAGCATCAAGCACACACATGGTGTACATATATTCATGTAGGCAAAACACTGTACATGTAAAATACAATACAATAAAAGAAGAAAATCATCGCAAAGGGAAAACTTATTTTGTCTACAGGAAAAGGCTAAAAGGGCATTTACCAGTCAACTGGGTCAGTACATCATAAACATGGCTGCATGTCCTAGTCATTTGCAATGGTTATCTATCTATCTATCTATCTATCTATCTATCTATCTATCTATCTATCTATCTATCTATCTATCTATCTATCTACCTATCTATCTATCTATCTATCTATCTTTCCATCTAGCTAGCTTTTTGAAATAAGGTCTTGTTATATAGTTGGGACTGGCCTGGAACTAACCATGTCCTTCAGGCTGGTGATTCTAGGTGATTTTCTGGCTTCAGCCTCCTGAGTGATAGAATTATAAGCACGTGCTACCACATGCAGCTGGAGCAGTCTGTTAAAATATAAATGCCCGTAGGCATGGTAGTGTGTCCTGTAATCTCTGCTACTCAGAAGGCTGAGTGTTAGGAGTATGGCTTTTGTTCAAGAGTTTGAGACCAACCTGGGCAACATAACAAAACCAGTGCTTTATAACACACAGGAGTGAAGGCTAGCGGGCACCCACATGTTCTTAAAGCTCTTCAGGTGACTTTAATATAAAACAGGAATACAAATCACTCCTCAAAAAGATAACTACTATATCAAGATCTGGGAGAGTTAAGGGGTAAAATACTGCTGGCCTGTTCAGTTGGTGAAATGCTTACTGCACAAGTGAGGACCGGAACTCAGTTCCCAGCAACCACATGGTGAGTGTATGTAATCTCAACACCAGGGACAGACCTTGTCTAACTGGAGTTCTAGATCCCAGTGAGAGATACTGTCTCAAAAATCAAGGTAGACAGCTGCTGAGAAAAGACACCTGACGCTGATCTCAGCCTTCAGACCTGTGTTCATAAGAACACACACAAAGGGAATGCTGTCTTGAGGGACAGTGACTCACGACTTAGCTATCAGTCCGGACGAACAGTGAGAACGAGTACATTTCTGACAGGCTCACCTCTGCATGTGATCGGGGCTCAGATTTGCAGTGTTCAGGACACAGATGTAGTGTGTAGGTATGCCACAGCCCTGCCGCACATGATGGGCAAGAAGGTAGAAATCCACCCTAGCAAAGAAAGCACCAACAAAACTTTTTTAGCTCGGTGGTGGTAGAGCGCGCCTTTAATCCCAGCACTCAGGAGGCAGAGGCAGGCAGATCTCTGTGAGTTCGAGGCCAGCCTGGTCTACAGAGCCAGTTCCAGTACAGCTAGGGCTACAAAGACTCCCTGTCTCAAAAAGAAAAATTTTAGGCCTCTGAACACAGCTTTGTGGTGGAGTGTTTGTCTAGCATTCATGAGGCACAAGGTTATATCCCCAGTAACAAAATGTGTGTGCATGCCACGTGTACTCACCTGTACACGAGCGCGCGTGTGTGTGTGTGTGTGTGTGTGTGTGTGTGTGTGTGTGTGTGTGTGATTGACAGAGATGCGCTTGTGCTCATGCAGGACTATTGCTCCACCACTGAGCTCAATCAAAGCTTGCTTTCTTCAACACCCCAATGAGGATTCCATTCTGCACCTCTCCAGGAATATTCAGGCACCAGGCAACTTCTCCAGCTTACTCTTCCTCCTTTTGTCTACTTACCACTCACAGCTGGTTATGGTATGATCCACCACAGTCCCAGGGGAGGGGGTCACAAAGTGATCGGGAGCGGCAAGGTACAGATTGGTGCTGATTTTCTTCTGAACCACAAACACCACCATCTTGGGGTGGTAGTTCTCAAAAGCTTCAAAGCACTTCTGCAGCTGAGGAATCTCATAGTTGGCAACTGTCTTTAGCTGGCCATCAGACACTCCATCTCGGTAGACCACGATCTTCTCTGGGAGACAGTGGTTCACCTGCAATGACAGCTGGAGGAGGTGACTCCAAGGGCCCTTGGCTCAAGGACCACAGTGAAAAGCTCACAGTCATTGTACAGGCTGGAATCTGGGCAGGTGGGCCCTGTAGCAGTTAGCCCAAAGCACATGACTGCCAAGCATGCCATTTCTACATTTGTTCAGAGTGGCCAACAGGCTTGATACAGCCGAGGTGCTATAAAATATGAAGGGAAACTCGGCAATGAGTGACATGCTCCTAGCCTACCCTCAAAAAGAGCTAAAGCTGTTAAAAGGCAATGGCAGGAGCCTGACATGGTGCACACATCTGCAGATCTGAAAGGCCGAGACAGGAGGATCACCATGAGTTCTAGGGCACCTGGGCCATATGGTGAAATCTTGTCTCTGGAAAAAGGAAGGAAAGGAGGGAGGGAGAAAGGAAGGAGGGAAGAGGAAGGAAGGAGAAGGAGGAAGCAAGGACTCAAAATTTTTACAAAGATAATGGCTAGAAATGGTAAGTCAGTGTTTATCTGACTTGGATTTAATGCTGACATCTGTCCAGAAAAGAACCCAGAAGTGTTAAGGAAGGTCTAACACATGAATTAAGACTCAGATTTTAACACACAAGTAACATCCCAAGTTGCTGACAGGTGACAGCTTCTTCACTGAATGTCCCCTGACCAGTAGAATGTCAGATACACTTATGATACCTAATCAAGTAAGTGGGTTCTCACTGCATCATTCCTGAGAGTGCATTTGGTTACATTCAGTTCTGATTACAGTTTAATGTAGGTTCTTGTCCCTTAAAAGATAAATCACGAGTAAAGCTTAAATACTCATTACATTCTGTAAAGACGGCTCTACAAGAAAAGTTTATCTCAAAAAACTCTTCCAAAAATGATCTTGCTGAGCATGGTGGCTTGTAATCAAAGCTGTCGAAAGTCCAAGGCAGGAAGACTGCTGTGAATTTGATGCCAGCCTAGGCTACACAATGACGTGCAGGTTAGCCTAAGTTGTGGGGTAAACTCTGGTCTCACATTTCCTCCCTTCAAGTATCTTTTTAAAGTTTTCATTCAATGTTTCAAGCTGGGTGGTGATAGTACATGCCTTTAACCCCCACACTCCAGGGGCAGAGGTAGATGGATCTCTGTGAGTTCAAGACCAAGTTGCCTACATGTTGAGTTCCAGGGCAGCCAGGGCTATATAATGAGACCCTGGTTTCAAAACTTTTTTAAAAAAATGAACATTCCCCTTTTCCGAGACACCTCAAACATTTCAACATTTACAAACATCTTCACAATCACTGGAGCTACTATCCCCGTCTGTGGTACTTTTTATCTGCCTCTCATCTCCCCCGCCCTTTTTAATATGACAGGACTTCAGTCCCCTCCTCTTAACAGTCTTGTATAAAGAGTGACTGCGAGGTCTCCAGGCCCTAAAGCAGGGGTTCTCAGCCCCAGGAGGCCAGTATTTGGAGATGGATGAGCGTTCACTATTAGAGCTGTCCTGTGCTCTGTACATCTCTGTGTTTAGTGCTGTCCCAAGTCTCTGCCCACTAAATGCCAGCAGCACTCTCCTCCAGTTATAACCACAGCTGTCTCCAGATGCGGCCCCAGTGGGGAACTACAACTTTAGCCGCAGAGCACACACAAAACTCAGCCACACTCAGAAGCTGAGGCACTGTGGTAAGAGGGGAGGTGACTCGGGAGAGCAGATGTGCCTTTCCACATACGCAACAGAGGAAAAACACGGGACTTGGGGTCAGGAGTGAAAGACCCTAGCCCTTCAGGCTTACACCCCCAAGCCTCAGGAAAAGAGAAACTTCAAGCACCAGGAAATGAGAAACTAAAAATCTAGTTCCAAGGGCAACCTGACTCAGCCACTACTCAATCAATCACCCTTGCCACAATGTAACAATATAAAAAGTTTTCTGTTAAGAGATGTGCTCAACTGTGACTGGGATAGTTGCAGGTATTCCAGGAAGGACCACTGTGACCTTTGTGTAAACTCCACTCCTGCCCTGATACCCCCCTTGAGGTTTCAGGAAGAATGTACATGCAGACGTGACTGTACCCACTCTGTGATCAGGCCATGAAATTGTATGGGAATTGTAATCTTGTGGGTTTTGTGGGTTTTTCCTTTATAAGCCCTTATGGGGCTGCAGTAAGATGCAGCTCTTGCTCTTAGGAGCAGAGTTTGCCCTTCTGTACAGAAGCTTCAATAAATCCTCATGCTTTTGCATCAACTGGACTGGAGTCTGGGTTCTTGGGGCGCCCACTTTAGACCCCCAGATTTTGGGGTCCAGCAAGGAGCTCTGCTGAGTCTGACTCCACTGCTTCTTAGCCATGGCTTCAAATTCTGTTCCTGTTGAAAAACCGAGTCAAATGATCACCTCACCACGTTCTCAAGGCGGAGAGGAAAGAAGTTATATTTACATATTTAGGTAAACACACTGGCTGGGGAAGTGACTCGGTGGGTAGAGGGCTTGTTTGACAAGCATGTTCTCTCCAGGGCCCACATAAAAAGCCAGGGGCAGCAGCCTTGGGAGCAGAGACAGGAGACTCCCAGAGACTCCCAGCCCAGCCATGCAGCCCAACAGTGAGCTCTGACCTCCATCAGTCTCTCCATCTCAACAATAAGCTGGAGAGTGATGAAGACATCCACACATACACCACACACACTGGTATATAAGACGATGTATGGTTTAACATATAAAAATATATAAAGTCTGTAGAGGCTGGGTGTGGCGGTGAATGTCTGTACTTCTAGCACGTACAATGCTGAGGCAGGAGGACTGTGAATTTAAGGCCAACCTGGGTTATACAGCCTGAGACCCTGTTTCAAACTAACTAACTTTTGTTGTCAAAGTTCAGACCAAGTTAGGTCAGGACAATGATGAAGTGAGTGGAGTGAAAAAAAAGCAGAAATCAAATTCAGCTGACGTGTTTTCTGCCACTACCTCGGTGTTCAGCCTGTGCTAACCTGTCAGTGAGTGAGTGGCACCAGACTGTGTTAGCTCCAGCACAACTGAAAGACCAGTTCCCAGCTATGGACTTACACCTAGTCAACAACGTTGAAATTCTCTAGGTCACCCAGTCTGTCCTTACTGTGTAAAGTGATAGTCGAGAGAAGGATCTCTATGTAAGGTCAATCACAGGCCTAAAGAACTGCTAAGTGTATGGTGTAGAGCCCGTCAGTGCTCTGGACACATGGCACACTAAATGGCCAGGAGAGCACCTCAGTGCTCCCGGCACTGGGCAGCTGGCAGGGTCCAGTGGGCAGCACAGCTGCTGAGCTGAATGCTGTTTGACGTAAGGCTCCACTCATTCACAAAAACGAGTGTGTCATCTCCACTAGACACGTGCCATTGCACTGCCTCAGAAAACTGCAAAATTCATTTGTCTGTCCTTTGGAGACAGGGCCTCATCTAGTGCAGGCTGCCCTCAAACTCACTGTGTACCTGTGCCTGATCTAGAACTCTTAGTCCTCCTGTCTCCACTCTCTCTGCTCTGCAAAACTATTTTGTTAACATGCAAATGCTCTTGGAGTTCAAATGAGACCTGGGAGCCAGACACACAAAGCGAATCTCCCCAGCACTGCGAACACCATCAAAGAGGAGTCAGTAAAACACTGCTGGCCGGAGTCCAGCTGCTACGTGCTTACCTAGCATGCTCGGAGCCCTGGGTTCCACCTCTAGCACCAGATAAAACCCAGGTGTGGCGGCGCATGCCTGTAATCCTAGAATTCAGGAGATGGCGGTAGCAGGATCAAAAGTTCAAGGCCAGTCTCAGCTACAGAGAGAGTCTGGTGGTCAGCCTGTGCTGCCTGAGAACCTATCTCAAAAAGAATAAAAGGAAAAGTAAACCGCTACGGGAACAGAAGAGTGCAAAGGGGAACACTGTGTCAGGACACACAGACAATTCAGGCAGCCGGAGCGGGGAGTAAGGCCAGCTGTGGCTGTCGGAGGCACGACACTGGAGAGACTTGTAAGGTTCCTCCACTGACAGACTTCGGGAACAGGCTGAAGAGAAGAAAGGGGCTGTCATGAGATCCCTTCAACTCAGGACCTGAAATCCCAGTACGGGAGTCGGGGGTGGGGTGGGAGGTGGAGCTGAGGCAGGAGGCCTTTGGGGCTGGCTGGGATGGAGCTCATGGGAGGGTGTTTGCCTAGCATATGCAACGCCTTAGGGTTCCATCTCCAGCAGCACAAGAGGGGCAGACAGGAGTCAAGCAGGTCCCCTTTGGACAGCAATTGTTTGCTCAAGATAATCTGAACCCCAACCTCCTCCCAACTATGTGAGAAAAGGGAAGCTGGAATTGAAATACAGAAACAACATTGTCTCACAGGCCACAGGCACTTCCCTGTTCTGCTTTCTAGGATCAGATGCTCATCAAAAACACCCAGAAGCTGGACATGGCAGCATACCACTTTAATCCCAATAGTTGAGAGGCTCAGGCAAGAGGATTTGAGGAGGCTCAAAGACACGCTGGGCAACATGAGACCTACACAAACATAGTGACTCTCTACACAAGACAAAATAAAAGTTCAAACCAACAAAAGTGGTCCAGCCCCAGGTTCTGTCCGTCACAGGCTGAGGGCACCTCTGCAGCAATTTCAGGTTGCAGCAGCCAGAGCTGAGGCAGAACTGTTAAAGCTCAAGTCAGTAGCAGGTCAAGCCAGCTCAGGGACTTCGTCAGGAGAGAGAAAGCTGCAGAGGCAGGTGTAAACCTGTTTTGATTTCCACACGCAAGTGGTAGGCAATGCTGGTCCTCAGCCTTGTAAAGCTGGAGTGGCCAGGAGCACACATGTAGACCAGGCAGCTGGACATGAGTGCAATGAACTGGATGTGCCAGATGGGATTCTCAGGATGGGCTCTGTGGAAAACTTCTCTTCTCTCTTGCTGGAGACCAAACCAGGCAAACACTCTGTTACCAAGCTTCCTCCCCAGCATACAAGACATTTTCATGAGAAATTTTGACATAAATTACAATAGCACTTTGCAGTGTAAATGATGTGTGGTATT